TATATTTTATCTGCTTGAATAGTTAATTGTACGGACAATGTTGGATGATAATTGTCTTCTTTTATAAGCGGAAATTTCTTAGTGACTGAGCACTTTTCAATATTAGATAAGACAAGATCTTGAACCCGACCGAGAGAATTAGTTACATAATTATATTGCGTGAAATTAAAAAGTTTTTCATAGTTATTAATTAAGATGACGCGTTTGTCATTTTGATGGTGAGTATTATATTCAGGAATATTGAAATTTCCTAACAGTATAATATGATTATCATATATAAAAGGGAGATGTGACAGTAAATCAAAAAAAAAATTCTTATGGAGTAAGTTCAGTGCCTGGAGGTATGTAAGCAACAAGTATTATTAATTTAGTATTAGGCGAACATGAAATTTTGACACCAACTATATCAATTGTTGGAACACACTCAGTAATACAATGTAGATCTAACTTTTCACAGGCTAACGCATGACTGAATGCTAATAGTGCCCCACCATCTCTAGTAGAATCAGAAAAAAGTTCCGAATTAGCGAAATCCTCAGTCATCCACGTTTCGGTTAATCCAATTATTATGTTATAATTGTCAGCAGAAACAGAAAGATTGTTAAAGAAATTAAGCGTTTTTATGCGAAGTCCCCTAACGTTTTGATAATAATAAATATTTTAATTTCGTTTATGGCATTTGGGCGAAGTTAGTTTAGAGATTTTTGAATGGTAGGTATACCACGAACATATTTTATGAAAAGATTTTCTTCTCCGTTCTCCAGTCTTTGTTGAATTTGGTCCTTTAATTCATTGTAATAGTGACATTGTCGACTTGTGAAACTCGAATTGATTGAAAGCGAGGGTTACCTTCAATATTTGCACAATTTTTTTTTATCAGACTCAGTAGGTTACCTACTTGTTGGTCGCCTTTGCGTGTAATTTTAATAGGACGCGACTTTTTGGGATTTGCTTTAAATTTGCCAAGACGAGACGGAAGAAGAATCTGTAATTCTGGAGTTTGGATTGGCGTTAACAAATTGCGAAAAATCAGATAGAAATTCGGAATCCTTTTCTCTACGATTTTTCAATCTTGGGAGGAATCCTGCTCGGAAATACCATAAAATACAATATTATTTTTCCACTTTTTTTGTTCAGATACCTCTTGGACCACAGCTTCAAATTGATAAGAGTTATGCGGAGTTTTTGTATTATTAGAACTCAATAATGTAATTTGTTGTTTTAATTTGTCTACTGTTTCAGTAAGTTTTTTTTAGAGTGGCTAATTACCCAGGGAGTATAATGCAACAATTGCACGACTCTCCCTTAGAGTTAGAGTTTATATTACATTTTTCATATTTCCTTTCATAGTCTTAGAGACATCAAATCGATTTTTAGTAATACCCACACATTTAATATGATGATGCAATGTGCATGGATTACATTTTATTTCAGGTACTGCGGGTGTTATTGCGCCCTTGCATGTTTCACAAGTAACTGTCATGGTGAATTCGTATTAACTGTGAGTTGTATACAAGGTCATTGGGAAATACATGCAAAAAAAAAAAGGGGAATAGCTCACAATATGATTGTCACTGGATAAAATTCACGGCCCTAAGTGGTAGCAGTGTCTATAGTATTTCCACCGATAGATTAGCTGACAGAAAAGTCACCAAATAGACCGCTATAAAAAGTAGTGCCAAAGGCGCTTTATTTGAAATATAAGTAGATTTGAAAATAATGTTGAACTACGTAAAATTACTTTTAATAATAATACAATTTATTTGCAACAGACAATATTATCTACACTGGAACATACACTTCGAATAACATTACGTACTTTATATTGAAGTAACAACCTCTGTAGGGCATCTTAAATTAAAATTTTCCTTCTTGATAAAAGAATACGCATTGGCAATCATTTTCTGTGCCAGGATGTTGTCAACAACAGTCATATTGCACCGGGTTGAAGAGGGCTACAATATATAATGGTATATAATTATTGCACAGAATAAATCAACAACACACTCTTGCGTAATTATGAATTTTATTCGTAATGTTTTCCATGGGGTCCATATGAAACGTTTTTTGACACAAACAACTTAACCTAAAATGTCCAAACTTCAGCCACTATACAAAAAATAGCACAAAGGTCTATAATATCATACCTAACAAATCAAAGCAAGTAAAAAAACACAAACACTAAACGCAAAAAACACACTTTTTAACTTTTCGAACCAAAATTTTAAATTAACGTCAATCAGTTGATCGTCCAAAACACAGGTTAAACGAAACCGGCCGACTGGCGCAGGCATAGAGGCGTAGGAAATTCGTTGCGCGGGAAACGAAACGTTGGTTGCCAACTTAAACTACAACTCTTTAACAGCTTTAACCGTATAATGTTAGTATATTTTGGATTCTCCGATTGGCGATTGTGAATTCAAAATTTTCCAATCTATCGCTGGAAATAGTATAGAAAAAAATATTTTAAATTAAATGTAAATTGTTATACGCGCCGCTGGTAATGTTTCGTGACTCACATAAATTACTACAAGAATGGGACAGAGCGACTCAGATTAAGAACCAAAAAAGTGACTTTATCAGGCACTTTTTTTTAATCACAACGTGAAAAACACGAAAAGGGCCAGTCAACATCGAGCGGTCGGTGAAATCCGTTTATGGTGCAGTTTTCCAATGCAGAGTGTGTCGATATGGTAATTGGTGTGCGCGAACATTTGCATCAGTGGTACAGCATCTCCAAGATCATGGTACCTTCAACCTCAACTCACGATCGTGGCCGTGATAGAACAGAAAGAAGAAGTTGGATTTTCACAACTTGTAATGCATCCTACATTAAAAGAACACGGTCACATCCATACCATGTTGACAAAGTGCACGGTTTGGAGTCCACTGATTGTCCACGTTGTGTAACTCACTTTTGGTCGGATGGAACTCCACATAGTCGTCAACAAGTACGATTTCAAGAGACGGTTTTCGAGAAACGTGTATTGGTTGGATGAAACAATTCGTTTGTGGAAATCAACAGTGTCCATAAATAATCGAAGAGCTTCAACATGTGAAAGTGGCAGCCGCTACTCCGGTGTTTTTTTACCTATCAACAAATCTCTTGCGACGCTCTGACGCCTGTATTGCTAGTCAAGGACAACATTTTCAACATTTCTTACAAAAAGGTAGTAGCATTCTAAGTTGCTCTTATTTCTGTTCCAATAAACAATGTAAAATCGTTGTGACAAGGACCAAACATCCGTCAGAATCAAAATTACTAAAAAACTTTCACACTGACCTTTAACGATGAATAAGTAAATGAATGAACGAATGATAAGCAGCAAAAAGTCGGTTTTACTTTTAAATGAAACTGAAAGTGTTTAGGTCGTTTTTATTCGAACGTTTTTCCAACTCTGTTTACAAGGTGGCTCAGTGCCTTCGTATCGAGGGTGGTTCATGGGGGTTTTGCCCCATTCGATTTTTAATTTATTTTTTCTATATTTCGGCTCTACTAGGGTGGGGGATGCCGTGGTTAAAATATTTGCATATATTTCGCAGTCACCCTGGGTATATGTGACTTTATGAATAGGATGCATTATAAACCGCAACTATAAGACCTTGTAAAATTTCAAAAGAAATTTGTTTTAGAGTAATCTGAAAGATTTCATTAATATTTTCTTTGCAGGAAATAAATATGATAAGCTTACATGCATTAATCATAGCTTCATAACAACCCTAAATTTTATGAATCATACGATATTTTTCTCTTACACTGTCCACTATCCAGACTCCCAGGAATGTGTAGGTAGATGAACTTTAAGTTACAGAATCTTCCAGAACCAGAGAGCCGATGCACAGAAAACACCAAAAAAAAAAAACATAAAATTATACATTCGTCAAAACGATTCTATTACAACACTGTCTTTAGCTATCGCTTTGCAAATAAAACTTCTTAGTTTCTGACAAAGTTGATGTCTTGCAGAGTAGAAGACAAAACTGACAAGTTTTGCCTCGTAGGCGTTTTAGGTCTTGGCAAGAAGTATCCAGGCGAAACGTGAGAATAAAATAAAAGTTTGTTAGCGATCGAAACAATCTGGTGGGATTGTATAATAGTATATTAAAGAACGAGTTTCATAAGGCAAATATTGAGGCACGAATCCAAGTTTATAGAACGAGCGGCGAAGCCGCGAGTTATATAAAGGATGAGTGCCTCAATAGCCTTATGAACGAGTTATTTATACTATTTTTTCTACCGCACACGTTTTTTCCCAAAATTTAATTGAAATTTGCATTTTTTTTGATCTGGGGACTTTTGTCGTGGTTGGTGATGGGTTGGTCTGACACTAACCACGAAATATTTGAGGTTCGAATTTTCACAACAACAACTGTAATTCGAATCAATTCGAGTTTTTGTAATTTAAAATTGGTTAAAATGTCTTGCGAAGAAGTTACGCGTCCGGAAACATGGGAAATTTTAAGTTTACATTTGCCACTGACATTCACCTGACATTTCTCGTCATGGCTACCAATCTTACCGATCTAAATTACACCAGATCTATTAAAGAACGCCATTCCGCTATTAACGAACTGCTGTGACGTCATTTGCGTGCGTTAATAGCTCTATTAGAAAACCAAAAAACGTGGGCGGTAGAAAAATATAACTAAGGAGGTTAATGTAAAATTCAGTTGGTTTGTATAAGGAAGTGCGATGTAGGTGTTTAGTAGGTACTTTCATATTTTCAAACACTTTTTTTTTTAAAACGTTCATGGTTCGATGCATGCTAACTTTTATCTTTCACAATTGTAGAGGACTTTTCCGGTTGCTACAACTACAGCTTCGGCATCATTTTATTGTAAGCTTGTTCCTGGAAACGGAATTTCATCATATGAATGCTACATACGTTCAGTGGTGGTGATCTTTTCTGAATGATCCGTGCTTTGTTGACGGAATAATAAAAGGATCAAACGAACTATTTTGTGTTTTATTGTTGTATGTACAAGATGATAATTACAAGTTGAGATTCACCTTAATAATTACACAGTAGAACGATTTTATAAAAATATGAATAAAATGTTAGAATAGTTAACAATTTTTCATCTGAAGTAATATTGCCAAGATTTGATTTTGAAAGTTTCCAATACGATTCTGCATTTCAACCAAGTTTGCCGTTGCATAAATCAAAAATTACACAGTTGTGAGCGAAATATATTCCTGTTACGGATTTTAAAATTTCACATAAAACAGTCTGACTCGGTATAAATTCTTAGGATAAAAGTTTACAACCGAATGGAAAGGTGGCATTGAAAGTTCACATCGAGGGTGTGAGGAGCAAAGACAAACCGTGGATGAGCAAACGAAACAGACTCGAATAAAAATTTGATAATGATAACAATAAATCTACATAATATCAACATGTAATAATAGTTACAATGAATAATGCTAGAATTATCTAGAGTGCTTTAGTCTATTAAATATCAAACCGGTCACACTATATACAAAATGGACGTTCATCGAATCCCTCGTCACACTCACAACCTTTTATGTGGCAACATTTTATGTCCAGTTTAGCACCAGAAATAAAATAAAAATCCTGTTCATTGATTTGAATAATATATCACCTCCTGAGTTCACTAAAATTATGGTTTAATATTTACACCGAGTTAGTACCACTAGTTCGTTACATGAGCGTATCGTTGATTGATATTTATTAAGGACAGCGTAATCATCTTACTGCGGTGACCACCAACAGAGAGAGCGACGCCAAAAGCGCCATCTGACGTCGAACGCCCGCCCGACTCGTCTGCATCGCTGCCGGGTGCTCCCCTGGAACAAATTACTCTCATTTATTACACTGATAATAAATAAATTATGTCGAATGGCCGGCCAAGAGAGATGAGGACGTGCTCTATTGCTCTTTTATTGACCGTTTCACCGACCTCAGATTTGGTGCGAACACATCCTTGTTGCGAGGCTATTTATTGACCCAATTGCCAACTTTAACCTCACACAATGAGTTGCAATTTTTACACAAACGCCTTTTGAGAACAAAAAGGCGAATGCGAAGGGTTATTACAACGCAAAAGTCGTTATTCAGTATTTCTTAAGAGTGAAGTTGCGTCTATTTACTTCCAACTTATTATTTAAATGCTTTTACTGTGATTAGACTGCAAACTACAAAGAAGTTTCTTTATTCAACTACATTTGATTGAAGTTCTAGATGATGGAACAAATTAAAACTGAATTAAACAAGTCAATAATTTTAGTTCAAATGAATGAATCTGTTAATGTAAATAAAATTATGCCTAACTTTTCAGCTGTTGTACTTTTATACTTTTCTTTTACGTACCGGCATCAGAATAAATCGTATCCGAATCAACATAAGATAAATTTGGTCTCAAATTTTCTTCCATTGTCTTCTCACCACTTTATCGCTGTTTTTCTCTTACAACATTGTTTTTTATATAATATATTATTCATGACTCATGAGTCTCACGTGACTCAGACTACATTAATTATTAATTACGTTTAAGTTAATATTTTCTTTACCGGATAATGCTCTTTTAGTGCTTTTATTCAGGTAATTAATTGTTTCTAACATCGTAGATGGCTTAAAAAAGGTTATAGTTGACTTAGGTTGTAGGTGCTTACCTTGCAACCGACATTCAAAATTTTTTGTAGTGAAAAGGAGACTACCGATTTTCTGTTTTTGTTTATCGTAATGTGTAAATATGATTTCTGGTGATATTTGTGGGGTTATTGACGTTATAGTTAAATAGTTGTAAACTATCATCAATGTCATTTAATTTTAATTTCTTAATTATTATTCATCAACTGTGAATCATGAAAAGTATGTATATTACAGAATGAAAAGTAAAGTTAGTAAAAGGAAGGAAAATTAAATAATTAGCGAAATAAGCCAAATGGCCAACGTACTGTCACCAACAGTACCTTATTCAAATTACCAAATGGGTTGCAAGATTTTGAATCCAGATTGGACACGTGTAACTCGAGTCGACTATAGAACGATAACGATCAATTTGCTGTTATCAAGCTTCAAAACTAGTCAGCAGATTTATTTGCATTGAAATTGTAAATGAAAGATAAAGTCGTAAACCTTCGGTACGTCAGGAAGTTATTAAAAATTTCAGGGAATGCGTGCATAAAATTTATAAACCTCTTCAACAAAGTTATTCCAGAAACGAAGAGTATCACTATGTAATAACATCAATCCAAGAATGTTGCGGAATATTTCTGAAAATATGTAAAGAAACGTGGAGCGCAACACCAGGCATTTTAAGGCTTTTATCTTAAAATGAAATGAGAATGATTGAATTTATTTTTGTGCTGTGTATAATTATTCTTTTTCAGTTAAATTTGTTTCGTGATACAGTTTTATTTCATTAAATAATCCGCCGGTAATGTGTATTTTATGTTCAAGAGTTCACCGGTTACGACAAATTTTTAAATTATTTAAATGAGCTTTGTTTTTTTAACCGAATAAACATCAATTGTGTGCCGTGTTTTACGCAGTGAAATAAATTAATTAAATAAATAAGGTACACTCAGAAATGTAGGCGGCAAATTTCTCAAGCCACTGCGATGCAAGAAACATTTGTAATAACTCTATTTTATATATATATATATATATACATAAGTTTTGTATTAAGTGGCACCCTGTAGGATGAATGTAATTGTGACGCCCGGTGTATATACTGATTTGATAAATAATGTAAAAGAAGCACAATCAAAATCAATAGTAATAAGGCACCCATCTGTATATAAATTGAGACAATCAATGCTTTCGTGGCACCTTGCGTTGTTGCCACTTTTTTATGTTCATCCAAACAAACATATTACAATACCTTAGGTGCTTCGTACCCACTTATCGTAAATTTAGTACATTTTGGCAGCATAAGCTAAGAGGGAATTTGCACAAATATTGTTATTATTAGTATTTTAAAAAATAAAATACCGTAAGAGACTATGCTGGCATAAAAATTTGATAAGCAAATCTTAATTAAAATGCGAAAAATAATATGAGAAACAGGTTGTGTAAAACAGCATGCCTGCGTTGATATAGTTTTTTTAATTCAGCATAGTTTTAATTTTAAGCATGATTTCAAAAGGAAAGACATTTAAAATCCTATAAAAAAATTGGTCCCTGGCTCCTGAAGTACAATGAAACATATCGAGCATATTCGAATGGGCGCACCCTCAGAGGCGTCCGTCATCGTTTCTCTGTCATAGTGAACTTTTCTACCTGTACCTGTTCAAATTAGTGCCTAATCGAATCATCCGTCCAGACCAATTGCCGATTTTATTTTGTATGTACCTTTCAATAACATCCCGTATAATTCTTATTTTAACATTATTATTATTATTATTATTATCATAAAGACATGTTTTTCAAATTTTCGAGGAAATGGGATGACTGGTTCTTAATTTGACCAATAAAAACTTGTAATGAAGTCATTAACATGGATAATACTTGTCACAGCACAAAAGAAAAGTAGTCACAGCGTATTACCAGTGCAAGAAAAAACAGCGAGACGTACATCAACTTGGATTGGTGGAATGTAATACTAAAAAAAAACTGTATTGAATTCCTAAAGTTTTCTGAGAAAATGGAGTGAACCGTTCCTGATTTAATCAATAAAATAAACTGACTCATTCATTAATTTTTTTGAGACACCCCGCTTAAGGAAGTCTAAAAAATATTCATGCAGTCATAAATCACAAGATATAGTATATTTTCCACATCTAAGAAGGATTTATTCAACAATATTTTGAGGTGACGTCATAAATTTTTTCGGGGTGATGAGCAAATACATTTTGATAAAAAATTACCATGCTGTTGATAACTTTAAAATATCTCCAAGATTTCAAAGGATTGGGTTTAGCAGTTCCTGATTAAATCAATAAAATAAATTCATGCATTCATTAATTCTTTTGAGTCACCCTGTATCCGCAAATCCAAAAAATATGCCAGAAATGATAAATTACAATGACAGACTCATCATATTTTGTACAATTTAGATAGTATTTATTCGGCAAAATTTTGAGCTGACATCATTTTTTTTAGGGGATAATAAATAGATTTTGTTTATATATACTATATATTATATTTATCATGCTTATCATATTTTCAGTTAGCCTGTATAATCAAATCCAAAAAATATTAATGGAATGATAAATCACAAGTATAGACTCATTATATTTGGACATTTTAGATAGAATTTATTCAGCAAAATCTTGAGCCGACGTCATCAATTACAAAGTTTATTATGCTTATCATAACTTTAAAACATCTGCAAGATTTCAAAGCATTCGGTTTTGCAAATTCAAAATTAAATTGCAAAATGTTGTCTTATAATTGTGACTTTTTTTCCAAAAATCTGGACGTTTTGGATAAAAATTCAGGACGAAGTCATAAACCATTGTTATTTAATACAATTTAAAACCCATTTACTATGTGCAATTTTGAAACGACGTCATCACACAATTGTGGTGGGGATGATTTTGGTTAGCGTTTTACCATCCACATGATTTCCTAATGTAAATACAAAATTTGACAACAATTGGCCCAGTACTTTCGGAGATTACCTGTCTAATAAAAATCGGGACACCAGGCAGAGACATATTCCTGCATGTGTAATTTAAGAATCCATGTTGACTTTTTACGCTCCACATTTTTGTGAAAAATTAAAAATTGTATTTTACAGTTTAACTTTGAAATTGCTAAACCGAATGCGCTGAAAACTTGCAAACGTTTTAAGGTTATAAAAAGCCTAATAAATGATTACTCAAAATTTACTTATTTATCACCTCCCCAAAAAATTATGACGCTATATCATATAATTCTGCCGAATAAACATTTTAAAATTTTAGAAAATGACATACAGCTGCATGTGTTATTTATAAATCTGTGTTGAGTCTTTACCCTTGATTTACCTAGATATTTGAAAAAAAAAATCAAAATTGTCTAACAATATTATACAAATTAACTTCCAAATTGTAAAAGCTGAATGCTGTGAAATCTTGCAAATATCTTAAGTTTATTGGAAGCATGGTTATCGTCAATCAGACTTTGTCCATGATCTTATAATCTTGCAGGATAAATGTTCTTCAAATTTATGAGTGTTTTTGGGAAAAAACTGAATGTGATTAATTAATTAATCAGTCCTCTCTTCTGCTTTGAAAAGAAAAAATCACTTTAATTTTCTTTTACTTGTTCCTCACTTGTAAACATCAATTTACCAAGTCACTGTATTCACCATGAAAATGTCACTTAACTGGCTATAGCCTGTAAAAAATGTTACTGGCTGCCAGTAAAATCATAGTAAAATATTTACAGCCCTGGTCGTGTTGATACCGCCATGTATTTTAAACATTTTAAACTATTATAAGTTGAAATGACAGCCAAAATTGATTCAGGTAAATTTTCACTTACAATTGCTGCTTCCTCAGTAATATAGCTTGCGCCACACTCATTTCAATACGTCTAAAGCTCATACGATGTTTCTTCAAATATTGGACCTTCTAGAGGTTTTAATAATTTATAATAGTTATTTACAAGTGAGAAACAAATCAAATATTGAACAATACACGCAAGGTAACGGGTTTTTACTGACTCCAGAAGGTGACTGGCTCACCTGCGGCTCGCCAGTCATATCCTTCTGTCCGCCAGTAAAAACCCTTTTACCATGCTAGTAATGTTAAATACTATTAACAGCTGATGCTTGTAATCTGAACTTGTTAGTTGTCTAATTACATAAACAGTCGAAGTTAAACTTGTACTGAGAAACTGAGAATATCTACATTTT